GCTTGTGATTGGTCAGGACGCTGCTGTTGTTTACAGCGCCGCCATTGCAAAGAGAGCCGAGGATAACTAGCGGCAGACACGGAGAAGCTTGAAGAAAACCTCACGAAAAAACTCTAAAAATATGAACGTTTAATTCTCCCGTGACTGGAGGAGTGAAAAGATGCGCAGCAAGCGTTTTATTTGTGGACGGAAATGACAGGAAACGTGGGTTTAGAGGTGGGGAGCGCATGAAGCGGTGGGAGAATGAGAGACAAATATGTCCGTGTTAAAAGTCTCTTATATACACAAAAAACACAATATAAACACACGATCTTGGACCGATACATGACAGGATACCACAGAACAGCGCTACGCCCTCTGTTGTCCTGGCGGGCAATTGCTTTGAAACACTCCCCAGGAGACGGAGAAGTATGAGAGCAAGACGCTTCCGTCAATCCGTGCGTGTCTGTCCCTTGCGGAGCTGACGGAGAAGCATAAACAAGGCTTAAGTCTTAAAAAAAACATATATATATATATATATATATATATATATATATATATATATATATATATATATATATATATATATATATATATATATATGCATAAACAACATAACATGAGAATAATAAAAGTAATACACTGTATTCAGCTCTGCTGGTCAGCTCGAGATGCACCTTCAGTGTTGTTTCAAGCTGTAATCACTGAAGTAAGTAGAAGGGCTTAAGCTGCAGTACATTTTTTCCACCTTTAGATGGCGGTGTCTGATGAAAAACTCCAGATTTCTGCCTTTATAAAAAATCAGATACCTTTTCAATTTCTGGTCAAACTTGAAGTTTTATTATCTTGGATGTATAAATGTCCGCTAAATACCAACGTATATAACTGTCCCGTCCTAACATCAATATGTAAGCTTTGTACAGGTGGTATATTTATTGGTTTGAAACAAATTTAGCTATGAGTTTGTAGGGCACAATTTGTAAATGTTTAGCTCAAACAAAAAGACTTTAAATGACTTATTAAATATGTGCAAGACAGGAAATAGTACAAACATGCAGTCATATTTAAGATCAATTCAATCAAAGTCAGTCTATTTACATTAAAATGCACGTTTTCCTCTTGGTCCTCACTCTATTAGTGATGATAAGAGCAACTTTTATGGTTTGTGGTTTGTAGGAGTGAGAAACTGTTTATTTCTCGAGCACCACTCATCAGAATGCAATCAGCCTGCAAACCCTCAAGCTCCAAGACAGTGACATCTACAATTTGTGGCTCAGACTGGAACGGAGAGCGCGCTTCTGTCTCGAGTCACAAAGCCACATGCATACAAATACTTTGCAAAGAATTGCATTTCGATAGAATAATGAGTACACTTTGCATTTGTGTGCATGTGTGTGTTTGTACACTGGACTTTAAAACAAAGCGTTCATTTTTTTGGTCCATGATCATATCCTTATTTTTGACACAGCAGCAGCCTGACACTCTAGTTAGCCCATTTGTTTAATCTTCTTACCATATATCAGGAAAACTGATCCATAATTTTTATTGCGCTGATTTATGCTAATAAAGTAAGCAACAGGACTTTATTGAACACTTCCCATTTTTGTCAACAAACGTTCTCCAACCAGTCAGAACAAGAACCAGAAACCATCAGAGACTGTTCTGGAGGATCTGATACAGCTGCAACACACAGTTTGGTAAGGTAAATGCCAGGATGTAAGTTTCCCCCTGAAAACATGAGCTGAGATACAAATCTTATTGAAGTTTGTGCGACCAAAGTTTACGAAAAAAATGCATAAATACATAAATCTGAAAGCAAAAGTAAACCAGTGTTCTTGTGTTGTCTATGGACCCATACATGCTAAAAATGCACATATAAATCCCTCCCACACCAGCTGTAGAAACATAGACATGCATTTGAATAAATTGTCATGTGCATTTATTTACAGTGACCTGCCATCGCTGCCTGTGATAGGTTGTGTGATATTCTATTCTGGGGTCTGTTTGCATGACTTTGAATTCACAAGTGCTGCTCACACAGTCACAAAGGGAATATTATGGAGGAATCATATCTATTAAAAAATGTCTTCTTTACCTCAATATGTTTGTTCACATTGTCATCTCTAACACACACACACACACACACACACACACACACACACACACACACACACACACACACACACTCCCAAGTGACATTTCTTGTTTTGACATGTCCCAGTGCCTGCCTTTATCAGAGAACAGATTTCATCATTTCACTTCATTCTTTGGGAAACTACTTTTAGGTGATGTTTACTTTTTTTAAGGCCAAAAAGCATAAAGAAAATAAGCAAGCAAAAATGTTCTATGCCTGCTTGATGCAGGCTTGTTGGTGTTCTAGCGTCAGCTGTAATTGGGGGAGAGGCGGGGTACACACTGAAGGAATCAATCACACGGCCACATAAAAACAAAATAAAATCACGCACACTGTTCAATAAAGATATTTTAATTAGTTATGAGTTAAAAGAAAAAAAAAGTTTATTTTGTTATTGATGAGCCAGTGTGAAAAATGTTTCCCCTTTTTAGCAGAAACCAACGAAGTTTCCAAGATATTTTTGTTTCTTTTGCACTTCCGTGTTGTTCTTTAATATTCATATTCAGAAGTTTACTTTAACTATGTTATTTTTAAAATGGGGTTTTGGTCTTCAACAATCACAAAAATGTCGCTTAAAGTTACAGTGTGTATTTTCCCTGGTGATAGGGACAGTGTACATACCTAAATCACTGCAAGCAAGCTCTTTTGTGTGTTCAAGTAAGACCTTACCAACGGATGGCCATTAGGGTCAAAAATCACTGGGAGTGCAACCTCCAGCAAAATGACAAACACATCCGACTCCCTTTCATCGCTGGCAAAGAGTGAAGAGGTAACATGTAAAACTAAATGTTTATTATTGGTGAAAGTTTTCTAACCATTTGTTACAAATCAGTAAATGTGTTTTGTCCTCACGGGCTTCTGTAGAAGGAAACATGGCATCCAATATGGCCTCGCCCAGAGACTTAGACCTGCTCCCATGTATTTTAGAACAGATTTTTTTTGGGTATATGCTATGAAATTGCCAATGTTTTTTCAACTGGACAACTTTTGATTAAGTTACAACAACATTTTGATGTATATCTCCAAAGATTAATTGTAAAAACTACACATTGTCACTTTAACATGCATTATAGCATTTAGTACATTTAACTAAACAAGTCAAAGTTGAACAGCAATTGGTTGCTTTAAAAAACAAACATTTAGTGAACAATCGAGTTGTTAATATATATATATATATATATAAATATATATATATATATATATATATATATATATATATATATATATATATATATATATATATATATATATATATATATATATATATATATACATATATATTGTGGAGGCCCTGCCACTGATAGGCTGGCAAGGCCGCATTGCACTCTGGGGGGACGGTAAATTGGGGTTGTTCATTCAGTTTGTGGTGTTCTGAGGGGTATTTTGTTCGGGGTCATGTTAGTGTTGTTTGTTTCAGTTCAGAGTTCATGCTGTGTTGTTCTTATCTGGTGCCTGTTGGCACCGTGAGTTAAATGTATGTGTGGGGCTACGAAAAGGGGAGCCATCCGGCTATTAAAAGTGTTCTATGTCTGCCACCTGTCGACTCTTCTTTGCTGCTTCACACACCCCGCTAGAGGGCGGCGCAGACGGCTACAAAATATATATATACATATTTTTTTTACATTTATTTACATATATATATATACATATATATATATATATATATATATATATATATATATATATATATATATATATATATATATATATATACGTGTGTGTGTGTATATATAGAACTTATATATATTTATATAGAACTTGTGAAATAATTTTCCAATAGTCCACACTCATACCCAGCTGCAGATTTCACCCTACAGTATATTCTCAATAACATGAGGAAAACATTATTTGAACAGTTTTTTAAATGAGAAATTATTAAACAGTCTTAGGAAGCAGGCTGAGGGAGCAAACTCAAAGTGCAATATTAAAAGTGTAAAACATAAAAAAATGTGCAATCTTTCAGTTAAGTCCCTTTTCACTTTTTCTGAATGAACTTTGACTCCTGCACACAGCATAGACGTGGAAGAGTAGAAGCCGCACCAACCGCTGCCTATGTTTGGCCGTATTTGCAGGCTCTACTTTCTATGAACTCTATGGTTAACAGGATGTTTTAGCTAGGCTGTAGCTCCGGAAAAGCTCCGTGGCGATCTGGAGCATGAACAGCGAAAGAACGCGTTCATAAACCCGTTCACGCACGCCAGGACAGACGCACTCACTTTTACGTTCGTCAGGCAAAATACGAACGAGTTCACTTCATGTTCACGAAAAAAAAAAACGAATTCACAAACGATCGTTCAGTGAACGCGTTCGGGCACAACACTGGTTGGTATTGGATGGGTTTCCTCATTCTCCAAAGTCAATGCAAAGTGAGCAACTATGCCATTTTGTGCAGCCTACGGTTGCAACAACCGGCGTACTATTGAAAACGCTGTAAAATTTTATTGGTATTTTTATTATCATGCTTTACCATGTGCCTGGTTTTGTGAAAAAGCTTGATAAAATGTGTTTTTTTGTTGGGTAAGCACCATCCTCAGTAGAAATGAATGCACTGTGGGCAAATGGACACCCATCCAAGGTGGCGGCCGGCCACTATGGCAACTAAAATGGGCAGCACCAGTCCATGAGGTGTCTATGTGTGTGTGTGTGTGTGTGTGTGTGTGTGTGTGTGTGTGTGTGTGTGTGTGTGTGTGTGTTTGTGTGTGATAGTAACAGGCTTCTCCTTCTCTATGGTTGGTTAGCCGAAAAAGCTAACAGCTAGCCTTTATTTGAGCTATCGGCACAGTAAACAGCTGATGTATAGCAGGTTGCCCCCCCCCCCCCCCCCCCCCCCCCCCACACACACACACCCCACCCCCATTTTATTGTATTTGCTTTTCTTTTCTCACAGCTTTGACCCTCAAAAGGGCTTCTGGTGCCAGGTCCTCGAGGGAGGAAGAACAAAATGTTTGGGAAAAAGCAAAGGAAGGAAGTACCCTCCTATGGAGCCAGAGGTAAATTCGGTGAATGTCATATATTTATATTAAATAAAATGAAATAAACACCCACTAATAGATGAGGAAGGTCTGACTGACAAGGACCACCCGTGTGAGGCAGATCAGGAGGGAAGACGAGAAGAAAATCCAGATCCATGAATCTCCTTCCGGTCGACCTGCTGATGATGAATCACACATTTGCCCTCGCATGAACACAAACACAGATACAGCCCTTCTCCACACATGCGCTCACATGCAGCTGCTGGCTGTGCCTCGGTGTCACCTGTAATTAAAATTTATTTGAGCTTCCTTCGAGAAGACAGAAGGAGAGGCCAGAAAAGGATGGAGGCGATGCAGCAAGCAGCAGGGTGCAGAGACAAGAAGGAGGGGGAGACGATTCCTCTTTTTCCTCTCTAACCTCTCTGGTTTTAGCTCGCGTCATGGCACAAACCACTGGATTTAAAGTCTTACTGTAAATAAATAACCTCACCACATTATTGTGGCCTAAAATAATGCATCCTTTCTCTTCTATCCCTCCTCTTTCCACACCTTTTGCACCTGAATTAACCTCTACTTTTTCCCTGATCCACGTCGCTCCTTCCCCGCCTGTCTGTCTGTCTTTTGTCATGTTTGTTCTCCTTTCATCTCTGTTCCTCTTGTCCCCTGTTGCTCTTCAGGCTCGAGCATACCTCTCCAAGCATTACAGAGAACACAATGTGGAGCTGTCAAAGCTGCTGCATCGACTCGGACAGCCCCTTCCCTCGTGGTTAAGAGAAGAGCTGCAGAAGGTCAGCATCACGGCCAACTCACCATCGTATACACATGATTTAAAGGTTAAATATACCAACACTTTGAACAATGGTGAACAAAACAGCCTTTAAGAAAGAGAAACACAACGTTTTCCAAATATTACACTGGATTTTTTTTTTGTTCAAACTGTGATTTTGCTTTTCTTGTGTGAAACTTTAGTTTTGTAAAGGTGTGGTTGACTGAAACCCCATTTTTTAATAATTATTTGTCATTAGCGCCGGCCAGTCTGAGTTTTTCATGCAAGCTGAACATGAAAACAGTCTCCTACACCTATCTCCGGCATAAGCTTCTGAAAGGAAATTGAGGGTGAAATGCTAGGATTTGAAAATCCTCACATATTTATGTCACACTGTGAATTTGCATTCATGGCCTCGCCCATCGTGGCTTGTGCCCACCTACAGGAAGGCTTTTTTACATTTTCTTTGCCGCGAGGAGAGAGAGCGGAGAGTGTCTTTGTGACACTTTGCAACATGGCTGAACGCATTCTGTTAGCCAATCAGAAGTGAGGTGTGTGCATATCATTAATAATAATGAGTATGCTGTTCAGCCCACATCTGCACCTGCACACGTCTGCATCACAAAACAGAAGACTAGTGGCTTTTTTTTTGTAAATGACTCATAGGACATTGATTTACACTACAGAAAACTACAAATGTGTTGAATAAATGAGTAAACCGCACCATTAGGCAGTGTAGATCAAATCAAATACTGTTAATCCTGTTTGTCCGTTTATCCGCGGGCAGCAGATGACGGTGTCACCCTCTGCTGCCCGTGGATAAATGGAGGAGGAAGGGATGCCGACAACAGCGGCGAGCTCTGAGGAAGGCTACAGCGTTAGCCGAAAGGTCAGCAAAAACAATGTAAAACAAGTATTTTGCAATGTTGGAAAAATAACCAAGTAATGGAATTAAAAATAATGTACTGCAACTCAAGTCCATATGTGTATATATATCTGAGCAGTAGCTCAAGAGCGGGTTGCCTCATGATCGGAGGGTCATGGGTTTGATTCCAGCTCCCACCAGGGGTATCCTGCTGTTGTGTCCTTGGGCAAGACACTTCATCCAACTTGCCCGTGTTAGTGGTGGTCAGAGGGGCCGACGGCACCAAATGGCAGCCTCGCCTCTGTCAGACCTCCCCAGGGCGGCTGTGGCTACAAGTAGCTTACCATCACTAGCAGTGTGTGAATGTGAGAGTGTGTGACAGCGTCTTTGGGTGTCTAGAAAAGCGCTATATAAGTTCAATGCATTATTATTATTAGTAGTATTATATATATATATATATATATATATATATATATATATATATATATATATATATATATATATATATATATATATATATATATATATATATATATATATATATATATATATATATATATATATATATGAACATTTATATGAAAGTCTCACATCCTGCTTGTTCTCTTTATCCATTTCCCTCTCTAACCCCTCCCTCTCTTGATCTCTTTCTGAAGGTTAGATAACCTTTCAGTCCATGAACCAGGGGTAAAGGTCAAGATATCAGTCAGTGAGGAGCAACCAGGAGCGCCTGACCTTCAGATGCACTGTCTGTTGCCTTTTAGCGCCCCCTGGGGTGGAAACAAAGACTGACAGATGACCTTGTTTCATCCGTGATGCTGCTGAACAGAAGAAGTCATGATCAAGCAAAGATACTTTCTTTGAGCTGGGATAGATGGATGACTTGAACAGCTCTGAAGACAAGGAACCTAAAGGAAGCTTACCATTAAACTACTGAGGAGTAAAACTGGTGAATGGCGGAGAGTTGGCACATCTTTGTTTCCCAATCCCGTTCTGAACCGACTCTCACACATCTGCAGTGATTTAGATTGTTCCTTTTGTTTTTCGTTGTCTCCTTTAACTTATGTTGCCAGAGCAGCGCTGGTCAGCTGTGCATGGCTCATATGAAAACAACTTTGCACTAAGTTCTGTTAAATGTATCTCCAAGAAGAAGAAAAATACATATCTGACCTTTCTGTGGTTTGATTTTATCACTTTTTTTATTCCATCAAAGTCACAAAGAGTAAGAATGGGGTAATAAGTGCATAGACTCAGGGTGGTAAAAGGCTGTTACTGTTCATTATAGATTCCTTTTCTTTATGTTGATTTTTTTTAACGGAAACTAGTTTCTAATAGATCCTGTAACCTTGCTCACCCTCAAGTACGTCACCTGACAATTAGGGTGAAAGGTTTGAACTGGAGATTTGCTAAACAGAAGCTAAAAGCATGTCCTCAACTCAGTATTTTCCCAGAAGTAATGCTTCTTCCATTCATTTATTGGATGGCAATCTCATTTTGATAGAGTTGAATAACAATGTCTAAATTCATTCTCAGCCTCTTGAAAAGTAGTGGCCTGTGTTTGTTTAGCTTCAATTTGAATGCAAGCATCCCTAAATGTCACACACACGAACCAAAATTAAAAAAATGAATATGACTGTCAACACACTATGTTATTATCATTGGTATCATGGTTTTGATTATTGTTTGTTGCATTAATTAGCATGTCAGCACACATTAGCCACCTTGTACATCAAATTCTCTGTTCAAAAGTTACATGATTTGCATGGAAAATATTCTAAATAGTAATTATTATTATTATTATAATAACTTCTATAAAAATGAACATTTCTAGTCAATGAATAACTATATAATGAAGTTGTTTTTTAATCTAATGAAAGTGGTTCAAGACCTACCCGTGCCTTCAAAAAAAGAAGAACCCATTGGTCAACATAATAATCCAATAATATCAGTATTCTGAAAACATTTATTCTGCAGTATGTACATACTTTATAATTATATATTACACTAAAGTTCATTTTTAGGTTTCTACACTGTGATGCTATCATAGGATTTTACAGTAACAGTATATATATATATATATATATATATATATATATATATATATATATATATATATATATATATATATACATATACATATATATATATATATAATATTATATAATATAATAGGCCAATGAGGTTTGGGACATTAGGTGAGATTGACTGAAAAACCTTTTTTTTAATGATTACTTCTGATTATAACATGAAAATCGTCTCCTACACCTATCTCCTGCTTTGGCTTCTGATAGAAAAGAAACTGTGAAATGCTAGGATTTGAAAATCCTCACGTATCTGTGTCACACTGTGAATTTGCATTCATGATCGTGTCAATGTTGGCTCATGCCCACCCACAGGGAGGCTCTTTTAAAAAAGTTTGCATCGAGGAGAGAGAGCGGAGAGTGTATTTGTGGTAGCGACTTTCTGTGATGGTGCCACATGACTGAACGTGTTATGTGAGCCAATCAGAAGCAAGGTGTGTGCATATCATTAATAGTAATGAGCAGTCCTGCTGTCCTCTGCACCAGTAAATGTCTACATCTCAGAACTGGAGCATCATAGCTTTTTATGTTTTTGAATGACTCATAAGACATTGGTTTACACAAGAGAACACACTACAAATATATTGAATAAATGAGCAAACCACACCTTTAATATTAGTTATTACAACGTTTGTTTCCTTAGTTTTTTGATTACATAGTAATGCATATTATTCAGAAGAGTCAATAAAGCTCATTTTCCATGAAAATCACCATAATTTAAGAAAAAAAATCTGTTTCCATCATTGCAAAAAGCTTATAGAAGCCAAAAAAAAAAGTCCAGCAAGTACCAGGACCTTTTCCTAAAACTGATCCAGCTGTGAGATCAGAGCAAAAGCAAAGCAGAACTTGTACATTTTGACTTTGGCCTGTATAAAGAACACCCCTAAAACCATCAGGAGCTATCTGATATTCTGGAAATTATCAGAGCTTGCTGAGTGCTTGAAAAGACTTTTTTTTTTCCTGATCAATGTAATTTTTGGGGGGTATTGAAAAAAAAAACAAATATATATATATATATATATATATATATATATATATATATATTATCAAGAGGAGAAAAGGTAAGTTACATAATCAATCCTCATCCCAAATATTGATGAAAAATAACGTTTTTCAGCCTGATGAGCACCATGTGGAGAGGTAATGTGATAACTAATTGTGTTACGTGAACAAAAATCTATATTTTTGCTCCGTGTTTTTGAAAAGTTACAGATCTTCATCCAATCAGAAACCTGGGTACAGTGGGCTGCAGATCTGGACCAGTTTAATTGACGGTACTGCAGGGTCAATCGCAGAGGGCTGATTCAGATTCTGACACTGTCCGAAAAAAAGTTGCCATCAAAATAAATGTCTCACTAATATTTCATTGGACTGTCTTTAGCTTTGATCACGGCATGCATTCACCGTGGCGTTGTTTGCATACGTTTCTGCAAAGTCACAAGATTTATTTCCATCCAGGTGTACATTACTTTTTCACCAAGATCTTGCATTGGTGAGTCTGATCGCTGCACGAAGCCTTCTCCAGCACATGCCAAATGATTCTGAATGGGGTTAAGATCTGCACTCCGTGGTGGCTAATTGATGTGGCCAGTCCATGTGTGAAAATGACGTCTCTCAGCAGAGAGGGACCAAGAGACTCTTGGGGTCCAGCGATGGAGGCAACGGGGGCCACAGGAACCTAGGGAACCAAGAGACACTGGGGGTCCAGCGATAGAGAACCAGGAAAAGGAACCAGGAGAGCCTGGGGGTTCAGTGGTGGAGGCAAGGGAACCTCTTGGGCCTGGCGGACCTTGGTGGCTGGGGACACCAGAAAGGGAGTCGGCAGGCCTTACAGGACTTTGTACCCAGGAGAGGGAGCCGCCTGGACCGTCCACATTGCGCTTGTGGGATTGCTCTCTTTCACTGTTAAACGTAGCCCCACGTTCTACTGTTGTTTCTCTTGTGATTTCACCAAACTTTTAACCCTTTGGTGCATAACAGTCACTACAGTGGACAGGTACTCAAAATTGTTATTTCTTTATTTTTGCTATTAAGCACAGCTGTTGAAGACTTTATTGCATGTGAGCCCCTCCATTTGGACTTCAGTAAGTCAGGCCAACATATTTCATGTTCAGAATGCATGCTGTCCACTGAGATGGACATGTAATAAAGTATTTGTAAATTAACAAAATGGTACAAAAATATTTGTTGACATTGGTTTCATTCACACCTAAAGATGAATGAAAAAAATTGTTTAAAAAATCATGGTTGAAGATTTCATAATTCATGCATCAGAGGGTTAAGTGATTGACAATCATGATCATTCAGGAAATTTTCAGGCCTCATTTCTTCTTTGAAGAAGATCCTCACTGTCCTTCCAGTTTTGAATAATGCGTTTGACAGTACTTAACCCAGTTTTAGTCATTTCTGCAATTTCCTTCGATGTTTTCTCTGCTTGATACCACTGATCTGACCCTTCCCAAACAAACTAACATATTTACCATGAGCAGATGTGCCTTTCCACATGGTTGTTTAAGAAATGAGAAGCAGCTCATTGCACCAGTTGTGGTTAAATAACTTGGTGCCAGCTGAAAGATAATTGTCCATACAGTAATAATCCAATAAATTCAGGTTTTTTTGGCCAGGCACTGTTCAATGACATTTCAGGACAGTGTGAAGGCAAGTTCTAAAAGGAACATTAAAACAGCAATAAAAATAACACATAAAATACCAACTAAACGGTGAACATCAATAATGAGTCATGTGGCTTAAGGTTGATATTCAAAGTTGACTTGATAAAATCTATAAAGACATGCAACTTGACTCGGACTTAAACGCCAATGACTTGCAGCTTGAATCGACTTGCATGCTTGATGATGACTTGATATTTTAGCACAAAAGTGGAACAAAATGGGCAAAAATCCTAAATCATTCTTCGTTCTGGGTTTGATTTACTGCTAATTGCAGCAGCACTTTGTTTATAATCGACTTCAGTTACACTTTGCTTGTTTGAGCAAATAAATGAAGCTTTAAGAAGCTTTATTTCTGGAATGTATTTATTATCATTGTCATTAAATTGAAGTTGGACAGATGACTTGATTATGACTTGAAAATTCAAAGTTAAAGGCTTGGACTTCCATATCGTTGACTTTGGACTCGACTCGGACTTGGTTGTCTTTGACTTGGACTTGAATGAAAAGACTTGTGACTTACTTGTGACTTGCAAAGCAGTGACTTAGTCACACTTCTGCTAATAGTGTTTTCTATGGTCGATAAAAATCAAAAAGGAAGCTAAAGAAAAAAAGCAACAAAAAAACAGTTAAAGCGTGGATTTGTTGTTGACCAGCATCACAAACTCTAAATTAGGTTGTAGTGTGCACAAAGTGCCACAAGAGGGCGCACACAGACTGAAAGTTTCCTTTTGTTTATTCGTTTGTTTAGCGTTTCCACCACATGTATGTCGATGGTTTCCACTGAATAACACACGAAATAGGAGAGACATTCTGCTTAAAGAACATGGAAAAGAACAGAAAAGAAGATACACCATTTCAACAATAAAATGTCATTAGTGTAATAATAATATAAATTATAAGAACAATGAAAAGTGTAACAAAAAAAATAAAAATAACAAATATGGAGAAAAATTTGCACATTTCTTCCCAACATTTAAAAATATATATTTTTTAAAAAGGCCTTATGTTTTTCCCGGTAAAGACAATTACTTCTTTTGTTGGTTTCTTTTTTTAAACCATAACAACTAAAATGGTTGCCATTCCTCTTGGCGCTTTGCAACATTCCACTGACTCAGTGTGGAGGTGTTTTCAGAAACACCATCTGACAAGCCACGCGATCCATAACTACTGTTAGCAACACACACAAAGGATCTATTTGTGCTTCTGTCACCTGTTAGATTTATGACAAAACACAAAAATCCAAAGTTTCGCAAACCGTTAGAAAACACAACCCCTATTAATATGTATTGTTGTAAACAGTTTCTGAGTTTCATATTGTTTGTGTCCTCAATAAAAAAGCCCAACAAGTTCTTAAAAATGTGAATTTGAGGAAATGCTACAGTACAGTTCAGCTCACCACAAAGTCACCAACGCGTAAGATTTAAAGTGTCTATGTCTTCCCTCTAAAGAATAAAAAACAGCACCGAATCAAAATGCAAGGATGTGTTGCTGCATCAAAACAACGCTTGGACATACTTTTTTGTGCTTCGATTCAGATTCATTTTTTATGTAAACATTACTCAGCAAAGTCTTTTAAGTTCATGGATATGAAATATAACAGCCTGAGCAATATAGTTAAGACCTGAAACACAATTTTCACTCAAAGACTAAAGACGAGAAACTTTACGTGAGGAAGTGAGGTTGTGTGTTTCATTCTGAAAAATGTCACATGACAAGAAGGCTCAAAAACGAAGCATGTGCAGGTAAATTACAGAGGAGGGGATTTTAGTGCAAAAGTCTGCAAAGTCATGCCGTGCCATTGCTTAGAGAAATGCACGAGTGCATGCACGGACTGTGTGTTTGGTCCCTTTTTCAACATAACATATATTTATATAATAAATTACAAAGTAGGTTCATAAAAAAACTGCATAAACAATAATCAAAGGAAACCGGTAATATGTGACGTTATATTAATACTGAGTTGTTTCATGAGGAAGGAAGTAATATTACTTCAAATTTTGTGACAGACAAGATTCTTTATAAGTGCTAACTACAGAAAAAAGAATAAATCTTCAAACAAAAATAAGCAGGAGGGTAAAGTTCAGTTTTGTCCTTCCTGTTTGAAAGTCAGGGCTTCAAGTGATACCCTGCCGTGAAGTCAGAACTGGATTGTTCCTGATGGTCGTTAACTCTGATAAAAAGCTGAGCTGTTTTAATTTGTCATGCTTTATCGCTTCTTCTCATCTCGTCCAATGACTTTGCGTATCCAGGTGCTGAAAGCTGAGACTTTGGTGTAAACACCAGGGGACTGTTGTGTCCTGCAGGCATGACCCCAGGACGTAACCCCATAAACCACCCAACCCCCTCCAGGGCGCTCACACACCAATGGGCCTCCACTGTCACCACGGCAACTGTCCACACGCCTTTCTGACTGGATGCTGCCGGCGCAGAGCATGCGGCTTGTGAAGGCGTTGTGGAAGTGCTGCTGGCAATGGCGCCGGGGCAGAAGGGACAGAGCGGCTTGTTGAAGGGTCTTTGAGTACGAGCGTCCTGGGAACAAAAAATCAATGTATTTTCAGCAACACTAAAGAGTTTCAACACTTTAAGCTATTATTGTCAAACTGGTTTCAGTGGTTCTTGAGCCATGGACCTGAGCTCCTCCAGATGGGACAGCACGCTGTAGCCCTCTGCTGATCAAAAACTGCACCTAACAGTTGTTTTATTATTATTTTTCTTTTTAGTTGGGGTAGGAACAGTGGGAGGTCTCAACCTGCTTTATGGCAATCGATGTTTACTGTGCTGGTAGCTCATTTAAAGCATAGCAGTTAGCTTTTTCAGTTCGCCAATCTTCAATAAAAAGCTCAAGAAAAAGAATTTTGCTTTTTCTGTTATCTGTTTTTTTGCAATCATGGAGGAGCCTGGAAGTAAAAGTTGGAAAGTAATGTCTTTGGGGGTGAAGCAAAGTGATACAACCAGAATGAACGTCTGCGTGGCCTTCACTAGTTTGGGAAAGCTGAAGGAGGCTAAGCCAGTGAACTGGCTTTGTTGCTACTGGACTTATCCAACAGAGTGGATATTTTTTATTTCATGGCTAAATTAGTATCAGTTGGCTCTTAACATTAGCTTGTTGTTATTGCTAGCTAAATCAGGCTTCAACGGGGTTCAACCAGGGGAGAAGCGGACAACTTGCTTTAAAGGAGAACTAGGCAGTTTTGTCCTGCTCTTAGCACCCCCTTGTATCTGACTGTAGAACCAAAAGCAAAGCCAACCTTCTTGTTGTGCGTTTGTCTTTGTAACAGCTTAATCTGAAAGCTAAAATGTCTCCCCAGCCTTCCCTGGTGTCTATCGGAGTGATTTATCATCAGCTGTGTTCATGATCTGAAACATGCAGGAAATGTGCCGGAACCAGACTGCAGCACCAGGGATGTCAGTTCCAACAGAGCGGCCCGCCAGTCAGAAGTTGCAAGTGGAATATTTCGGCCATAGGGGCTGGGTGGCCCTTCATTAAGGTAAACAAGTATTTAATGATCACATTTTTTTTGTATTGTACAATACAAATTTTTATCATCTGTATCTATTTGAAGCCTGAGGACAAGCAGAAATGCAGGAACAAGCATGGCAAAACATTGTCTGCTCATATAGTCTTATTTAATTGCTTTGTACATTTTTTTTACGCGCTAAAGTCAGATTTCATGTCAATCAAACTCCTGATCTTCTTGATTTGCACAGTGGCTAAAGTGTCTGCTGAAAACTGAGCTGAGACGCTGAGACCATACTCTGCTGTGTGGCAGATTTTTTTTTTCCTTTGTCTCAGTGACCACGTTAACCATCTCTGACAGCCCTGAGGAGTGTGTATGTGGAAAATGTGCGTGCATGTGTGACATCAGCGCAGAGGTGGAAAGAGAACTAAAATGTCCTACTTAAGTACGAGTACCAGTACGTTGATCATTTTTTTACTCAAGTACAAGTAAAAGTACTTGCCTAAATTTTTACTCAAGTAAAAGTAAAAGTATCGTAAACAAAATGTACTCAAAGTAAAAGTTACTCAGTTACATTTTTGTCAGCGTAAGGATGGCTACATTTAAGTAGTGCTAAATCACAATGCCAGTTCAAAATTCACTCATGTGCGCACACACACACACGCGCACACACACACACACACACACACACACACACACACACACACGCACACACACACACACACACAGCTGGATGGAGGGATTTCTATCCAGTCAGTGAGAACAGGATGTGCCCATTGATTGGACGAGGTTTTTCTAGGATTATAGGTTTCAACTGTGATTAAAATTATTCTTTATTTTGAGAAAAAATAATTTTTTAGATGCCATCAGTATGTGAGGTATCTCAATGTTTTCATGAAAAACTCTAACATGAGACTGTGCTCTAACCTGTCACATAATATAACAAGCTAAATGCAAACATTTCAGATGGACCGTATGACAGCTGCTAACGTTGGCCCTGCCCTACTTTACCTCTACATTACAGTTCCTTTATCCATGTCCATCCTAGAGCTCCTCTCTGACCTTCATGCTTATTTAGAGCAGCTGATTTTTAAAGTTAGCAGAGTTCATCCTTGGTAGTGGGTTCACTCACTCGTTTAACCCTTCACCACTGAAATCAGTTTGTTCATTCCAGTCCTCCTAAATAATCCTCCAATCATCCAGCTGGAATCCTTAAGGGTCCCGTAACGTCCATCCTGTCAGAACAGGCCGTGGGAGCCCAGGTGTTACTAGAACTAATGGTGTCTCCTCACCAGCGTGAGCCTCCACACTGTGAAGGTTGGTCTCCAAACATGAACTTTAAATTCATGCATTTATCTCCTCTTGTAAAACTTTAACATGTTTTAAAAGGCTTGTATCATGATAAGTTACACCTCCCAGACCAAAGATAAGATAAAACAGTATCATAAACACTGCAGAGACGTCATTATTTATGAAATAAGTTATTTTCCTGAGCCGTTACTTCAGCCAAGATATAGGATGCATGGGATTTGATGAAACCACGCTGTCTCATGCAGTTCTATATGTGTAACACACACACACACACACACACACACACACACACACACACACACACTGCAGCATGTTAGAATCTTTTGAATGACTAATTTAACAACACTGAACTGCTTTAGTAATACTTTAATCTCTTATTCTGGAGTAAAAAAAAAGAAACAAGCTAAATCATCACATATCTGTGGCATCAAGAAGCATCTTCTGAGTTCAATCACAGGGATGGAGCACAATGTTTACAACTGAACAGCATCAGGATGTTTTAACTCACAGAGGCCTGCAGGTCTTCTGTTTCTGTTATGAGCAAAGCGCTGATAATCCACTTGTTAGGAGCGCTAAACGTTATTCTGCCGCTTCTGTGCGGAGCGGTAGGGAAACACGTTTCAAACACGGAACCGAGTCCGGCTACCGAACCGAGCAGAATTCTGATGACGTCACACCGGTGCGCGAAGGTGCGGGTTCCAACCCACAGGAGAGGAAGTAAACAGCGAGTTGAGGGACTGAACTGATGTCTTTGAGAGAAAGTGTACCCCCACCCCCACGGTTTAGATGCGGTGCTCATGCAGGTGTCTCTTTCCATTCTGACGCTGCTACACATAATATTTTTAATTTATTAAGCCTGCAATTTATTTTTACTCAGTAACGGATATGATTTCAAATGTAGCGAATTACAATTCTTTTTTTAAAACTTACTCAAGTAAAAGTAAAAGTACAGATTTTAAAAACGACTTAAAAAGTATAAATATACAAAAAATCTACTCAATTACAGTAACTAGAGTAAATGTAATTCGTTACTTTCCACCTCTGCATCAGAGCGACAGTTAGCCAAACACAAACAGCTGTACACAGCAGACATCTCACCTTGAGTCACATACCTGTTGCTAAACATCACAGGATATAAATAGCCCGGGTGCCCGACTTACGTGAAGTATGACAACTCTGCCCCCCACCCACACAAACAAGCAGATTGTATTACACATGCATTACACTGCTATTACGCTTATCAGAAAACATTTCACAACAGGGTGTACGTGCCCTCACAGATTGTACACGTGACATTTTGCAGGCCTTTGTGACCGAGACGTTATGATTAATGACATCCGTGTGTGGCTTAAAGATCACTAACAGATGTGATTCTTATAGATCATTCCTGGAGATGAAGCGCAAGTGCAGCTAACTAGAAAATGGATCATTTGAACATTTCTGGCTTCGCACTTAAATTTTAGAATCATTTTCAAGTGGTCTTTTTGCCCCAGTTCTGGATTTTAAATAATTTTTGTTTATTATGTTTATTATATCCTCATCTACATATATATTAGCCAGTTGTAACCAATCCATTCTCCTAACAGCTAACATTTTAATTAACACTGTGAGACACGTTCTCTCACACACACACACACACACACACACACACACACACACACACTCACCTGTGTCACCCCAGCCTGTAATGTGACAGTTGCTGGCTTGTTTGAGCACTCTCTCTTTCCTCATGGGCAGACAGGCGGGAAGGACATGACGGCTGAATGACACACACTCCCCCGGCGTCTGGCCCACAGCTCCCGGCGACAGACGGACCAAAGCCAGGTCATAGTCGTTGCTATGGGAATGGTAATTTGGATGCAGGACAAATTGTTCAACTCCGTATTCCTCTTCGTACTCTTCTGGAACAAGGGAGTGGTAGTCACCCAGTCTGACTTTGTACTGCTTGGTGCTGTTTCCATACCTGCAGTAGTCAGAAAATACAGAGGATCAGCGTTTGAGAACCAACAGAATAACATTAAACTATTAGTGTGTGTGTGTGTATGTCTGTGTGTCAGATACGTTTTTCTTAAACATGAGTGTTTTTCATGCCTCACATGTTGTCGGGCATGTATGGAAAGGTTTGGAAATAAAGCAGAAGAGACGGAGAGATGGGCAGGGTGAGTCGAGGACAGTAAGGGAGGGGAAAGAAAGAGGAGACGAGGACTGGAAGAAGAGTCAAGTCTCTGTGTCCAGTTACATATGGTGGAGAGTTTCCGGAAAGACCTCCTGACCTGAGTGCCATCAGGTTTTCTGGCATGTAGGGCTGCAACAAACGATTATTTGGATAATCGATTAATCGGATGGGGTCTCGACACGATTAATCGATTAATCGGATTACATGGGGAAATTTTTAAAAACTGCTAGGGAAACGTTATTTCTCTCCTTCCTTCACTTCATTTAACACAACATTATTAGAAAACAGTTCAATAGCAGAAAAACAACATGCCATCACCTAAATTGTCTTATAAGGTGTATAGACAGAGACCCTAAGCTACATCTATCTGTGACCTAAAATGCTTGGTCCAAGTTAAACAGCTTAAGGGCAATTCTCATCTGTTTTGTTTGATCTCATCTGTTGACATTTATTTTAAATGTAATTAAACATAGGCCGTGAATTAATCAAAATTGATCACTATTTCCAAAAATGACTGAAAAAATACCAAATAAAACAAAAGTAAATGAATGCCATTCTCCTTGCGATGATGCCCTGGGCAACTGCCATAAAGTCACATCAAGAAATGCTGCTGATCATTCCAATGATCCCAAATAGACTCACATTAGGCCACATGAAAGCAACTGAACCCAAAAATATATTAACCAGTATATAACTGCACTCTCACACAACACGCCTGCAGCAACAGTTAGGACTCCTCCCTCCCTTTTAAAAGCGTTTTTGCTTCCGAGGACATTGTGGTTGTAAAACCACATGCTAGTAGTCTGGCCCCGGTGTGATCAACCAGTTTCTGCGGGAATGTGACGGCGGAACCAGGGCCAGATTAACACTTTGTTGTACCCTGGGCAACAATATTCAAGGGCTCCATCATCACGACCCGAGGATCACCATAATGTGGTCACATACAGAATATTTTACTGTAATATGCAGTAAATATACTCAATACTTGAATGCCTGACAACACGTAACCCGCCCAGAGTAACCTTTGACCCACCTCGTGTGGACTGACCAATGAGGAGAGGGTCTTAACTTGAGGCCCTCTCTTCATTGGTCAGTCTGCATGAGACTGACTCTCAACTGACATTCGAAGTCATAGGCAGCGAAGCGTCTCTGTGCAGTGCAAAAGCCCGGGTGGACAGTTTGTTTAATGTAGGGTGATCATATTTCCATTTCCAAACAAGAGGACAGGGGATCTGTGCCTATGATGTCACACTATGGCAACGCCACACAAACCATGTTGGGACCCATTTTTTGTAAGAACTAAATTAATATCAGATTCTGCCAATAAAAGGGCTCTAAAACAATTCATATGTAAATATTTTGCATATTTAATGCAAAATCTCATTTTTATGCTTTAGTGCTGCAACAAGGTTTTATTAATAATAAATTATTATACCTTTTGTTTTACTACAGCATCGGTAAGCTTCCTGTGCACAGATTATTAAGGATGCTTGTTTCAGCTGTGAGATTAGACGATAGGATCAATGAAAAAATAAGTTGTCACAAACTCCATGGAAACTTTCAGAGAATCCACAAATAGTGGCTTTCAAATGGTTTTGTTACTTTTTGCAAGTTTAGAAAAGAAGCTGATGAGACAGCATGTCTGATAATTTAGTTTTTCATCTGATAATATTAGAACATGTCAGTAATGTCTGAGGGGCTTTTATAAACACTGTATAACTAACACTACTGGAGAGGGCATCAATTACACAGAGGCTTCTGGGGAGCCCAGTTATGGGGGGGGGGGGGGGGACATTTTGCCTTGGCCCCCAAAATGTCTTGAAACGGCCCTGGGTGTGTGACTGAGTTTTGAAGGTGATCTGAATTGTATCAGATGTATAACTATGACATGTGTATAACTTATTGTTTTTTACTGGTAAAAACGTGTAGTGGAGATAAATCTACCTACATTTTACTTTGTTTTCTTGTTTTTATTTAACTATTTTCCTGTCCTGTCTGTCTCTCATCTTCCTGCATCTCCTCATAATTCTCCAGAAAATCTGTTGCCTGGATTCTTACTTTTTCACCTCATCAGTTACTTTTGAGCAGATCAAAGAGATCTCCTGACCGCAAAGCGGAGAGCGCGTTTTCGATGCTGCGTGAGGTGAAATCACCACAGCACAGGTGATGAGCTCCGCAGCAGAGCGCTTCAGGCACAAATAAGACAGAAAATAGAGAACATGTGCAGACAAGAACGATCGTGTGCTAATTATAGTTTTTTGGTTGCGCCACTTTGAGAATGGACCGTGCGCTGGAAGCAGCTGCCTGGATCGCTGTGCAACAATGCGGAACCGGTTCGCAGCAGCGCAAGTCTGCAGGCTCTCCCTCGCGCTGATCTGCGGCTCTCCCTCGCGCTGATCTGCGGCTCTCCCTCGCGCTGATCTGCCTCTACCGGCTCTCCCTCGCGCTGATCTGCGGCTCTCCCTCGCGCTGATCTGCGGCTCTCCCTCGCGCTGATCTGCGGCTCTCCCTCGCGCTGATCTGCGGCTCTCCCTCGCGCTGATCTGCGGCTCTCCCTCGCGCTGATCTGACTTGCTCTGGTCTGCGCGCAACGGTGGGCGGGAGGGGGGGGGGGGGGGGGGGGGGGCTTTTGGAAGAGTTGTGCGACACAACGAATCGATGACGCAATTCGTTGCCAACGCTTTTAGTAATCGATTTTCATCGAATTCATCGATTCGTTGTTGCAGCCCTACTGGCATGGCTAAAACTCTGCAGACCAGCATCATAAGTACATTTATATGCACACGCACGCATGCATGCGTGCACACTGCACACACGCACACACATACACACAAACACACACACACACACACACAGCTAACTGTGGCCACGGTGTAATCATCGACATAAATGGGTGTAATACAAGACAACCAAACGAGATCATATCAAACAGTAAAGTAAACATTTCATGTCCAGTTGTTCCCGCTGAACCATTTTCATTCCTGTTGGCAGGACCTGAGCTGTACAGTTGCAACATATAACAGATTTAATGTGTTAATCCTGCATGTGTCACTGACCTGAGATCACATTTAATAGACCTACTAACGAGAGTGTAAATAATCACCTATTATAATCTTGGATGATTTATGTGTAAATGTACATTTTGCTTTTTTCCATTATTATCTTATGTGTGCGCTGATTGCTCATGAGTATTACGGATTATGAAGGGTGCTCTGACTTTAATAGTTACTGTGACTGAAAGGTGACACCGTGGAGTCGGAAGTCCCTGACTGTTCTGGCCTGTGTGCAGCAAACTGCTATCTGAAGCTCTTACAGCTGCGTCTAGCAGCTTGTGACAAGACAGTCAAAACAAAAACCCAAAAGGGTTTTTATGTTCCGTTTCATTTAACAAAGCAACATGCTTCCAAATGAGAAACTAGAAAACATCCTAAAATACGATAATTTGCTCATAAGTGATTAGGTCCTAATAATAAAAGTACAACTGCATGAGCTTTAAATGGCCCTTGGTTTGCTTGCCCCTACTTGACTTTCATTTAGAACTTCCTCACACAGCTTTGACTATGTAGTTCAAAAGAAATAGTGTGCTTTTCCTTTTTCCTTTTTTTAGCAAACTTTTATATGATGTAGATGACATTTGCTTTTCTCAGACAAATTTCACAATAAAATCATCATTCAGTGTTCCAACAGGTCATAAGAAATTGAATGTCACATGACTAAAAACGCTTTTTATGCCTTTAACAGATATTACACAATGACAGACTAAATTTTATCATTTACAGTTAGCTTCACAATTATAAAGAACCGACCGCAGTCTGTTCAACTGATTATGATGAAGTTGTGCACTCTCGGTTTTGAGCTGTTTAATGTTTCCAAAATATTTTCTAACCCTTCATTTTGCCACAAACTTGTAATACACTTTATACATCAAACAATTTTTATTGGTTTTCCTTAGTACACAATGTCCCTGACATCTACAAATTCTGCTTTTACCTCAGATCTCTCTAAGACGCAGAATACGCATAACCAAAATCCTGCCGATTTCCAATACATCTGAGGGCAAAACCTTCTCTTCCAAACTAGAATTGAATGATTATTTTAAACTTGAACTATCTCCTACATTAGTCTGATGAGTTATCCGATATTTGTAAATACATAGTCAGGTCACGTGTTCTGTGTCCTTGTAGCCCCCAGCTCTTTTTGTCCCCAACTCCCTCTCATGTTCTTTTAGTCTTCCCACTGTAGTTTCTATAGGTTTATTATTTCAGTTCCTTAGTCTCCTTTAGAGTGTGTGTGTGTGCGTGTGCGTGTGTGTGTGTGTGTGTGTGTGTGTGTGCGTGTGTGTGTGTGTGTGTGTGTGTGTGTGTGTGTTCCCTTCACCAGTTAGGTCTGGCTTCCTCCCCTGCTCCGTTCTGCTCCTCCTCTCTGTTATTTGTTTCACCTGTGCCCAGTTCCCCACGCACCTGCTCCTCGTCTCCTATCACCCCAGCCCTGTGCATATGACCCTGTCTGTGTCTCCAGTGTTTGTCGGTTCATTGTCTTTCGTCAGCGTTGCCTTGCCCCCCCCCCCCCGTCTCTAGTAACTACAGATTGTGGCTCAAGAGTGAGCTCTTGTTTTTGACTTTTTGAACTTTAGAATTTTGGCTTAGAGTCCTGCAGTTCTTTTATCATCCTAATAAAAGGATTTTTTAAATGTATACAACCTCTCCAGCCTTGAGTTGTGTGGTGCTCTGCGTTTTGGGTCTGCGCTCGCAACGTGACAACGACCCAAAGACAGAGCTCAGTCATTG